CCACCCCCGCCCTCACTGGCTGCCATCCCCAGGCCCTGCCTATCCATCAAGGAGGCAAGAGGTTTACCTTAATGTTGCAGTTGTCATCGAGCAGTATATTTTCTAGCTTCAAGTCCCGGTGGACCACACCATTCTGAAATGAAAAGACAGGCAGGGGATTGAATGGGAACGGTTGGGATGAGAGAAAGAGGAAGGCGGAGGGAGAGCCAGGGGAAACAGTTGACAGATGAAAGAAATGCACCAGCCCGGTGGTCTTCGCCTCCATCTTTCAAGGCTGCTCTCTCACTGTCATGAAGCTCCCGCCAGCGACCGGGGACAGAATAGCATTAGTCACTTGCTGTGTGGTTAAGGGAAAAATGACTGGAATCCATTCTCCCCCAGAGCCTGTAAAACAGCAGGGGGATCCTTTGTCGGAATGTCATTCCACTGTGTGAAAGCAATCTAGTCCCAGGCGGCAGCAAACAATGTCTGCCTGTGATGTGATTCCCAGGGAAGAAGCAGATTTCTCTGCTGGGGACTCAGAATGGCAGTAATAACAAGGCTCACAGACCTTGCTTGTCTGTCTGTCTGCCTGCCTGCCTGCCTGTCTGCCTGTCTGTCTGCCTGCCTCCCCAGTGCTGGAAAGGGGCCTGGTTCAATCTGCTCTGACCCATGAAACCAATCCAGATCTGTTGTGAGGATAACAAAGGTGCTCCCAGGGGTGTTTCCTGAGCAGCCGGGAGGGAAGATTCAGAAACTCCCTCTCTACTGAGCAGGACTCAAGGTGGGGGGAAGGGTGCAGGTGGGAGAGGCAGATGGGACCACAGCCACTGCGTCGACCAAAGCAGGCCCCTGCCACCCTGGGTGACCTTTCCATTCAGGCAAACTTGGGAAAGGCTGGAAGCTGAGCTGCCACGACACGCAGACAGTCAGCTGAAAGGTAGAAACAGTCATTAGCCAAGAGGCTGTTGGTCCGTACAGCAGTAACGATGTGTGTGCTCAATTCTCTTTTAAAAGCCCCATGCTATTTTAAGGGGGTGTGTGGGCATAGGGAGAGAAGGGGAACTGAAAGAACCCACTGTTTGGAGCTGGGCAGATACATAGCAGGGAGTAAGTTTCTAACATGATTCAGTGGAAAGGACACTGGCCTTGAAGCTGCTCTTTTAAGCAAAAGAACTGGTGAGAAATTCTTTGTCTTTCATTTAAAACTTCTTTAGTTCAGAATCTGCACTTTTACAGTTTGGTTCTTTATTGTTTATTTTCCTTTCCATTTGACAACTCCTAACATCTCCAAAAGCCCTGACTGGAGGGGTGAAAACATGTATGTCTACTATTCTTTTTCTAACCCAAATCTTCACGGATGTGTTTTGAAATCAGAAATGCACACACCAAGTCTCCTAGAGGAAAGATACAGGAATCCAAGGTACCTGATTTTGTTTTCGTTTTATCTATTAGGAAGAGTCTGGTTTACATTGTTGCATTCCTGGTTTTCACAATAAGATGGAATGAGTCTCATAAAGTCCCACTCATATAAAACCCAAGTATTCACACACTTCGAATAATGAAAATACAGCCTGTAGTACTTTATGATGATGTGTGATAATAAAACACAAAATGTTGTATGATCTGAATCATCAGTGTCCTTTGAGCAAGCAAAGAGAAGTCAAACAATGTGCACATGGGGTACGGGTTTTCAATGGGAGTAATCATTTTTTCATTACTTCCAGGGCCACTATCAATGAACCAGAATGTTTAACAAACGAGAAGGCCCCATATTGCGATCCTTTGTATGAAGAAGTTCACTCTCTTTTGGATGCCATGTTGGATCATGTCACTCTTGTCCTCACAGAGAATGATGTTCAAGGTATGGCAGCTCTGGAGAAAAGTATGATTGGGATAGAAACCATGACTAAGATGATTTTTAACAATCATGGCTGAAACATGGCTTGGACTGATCTGGGTACTTCATGCCCTTCTCCAGAGACCAAGGGTGGCTAAACTGTGGCTGTAGCGAGAGCACATTCCATTAGGTGTGTTACCATGAAATGTATGTAAGCATCTATAGGAAACATATGTACCGTATTTGCCGGCGTATAAGACGACTTTTTGACCCTGAAAAATATGCCTCCAAGTGGGGGGTCGTCTTATACGCCAGGTACACTTCAGATAGACTGCCCATAGTGCTTGCCCCGTGCCATAGTGGCCTCCCGATGCCCGCCCACTTCATTCCACATACCGTTCAGGCATCAGCAGCGCTGCTGGGTGTATGCTCGGCTGTTATGCGATTTTGCTGTTATGCGATTTTACCACACTCGCAAAATCGCACACAGCCGACCATATAACAAACTCTGTATTTTGAGTGGAAATGTTAGGGGGTCGTCTTATACGCCCAGTCGTCTTATACGCCGGCAAATACGGTAGATGCAATCAATGCAACAAAAGGTACCAAGCACAATGAAAGGTTCAGAACGCTATGGCCCACTAATCCCACTTCTAGAATTTCTCTTAAGTGAATGATTCAAATGAGAGGAAACGGTTAATGTATAAAGATGGTGATCATAATTTGTAATAACCGGAAATTGGAGCTGGCCTAAATGTTCAACAATCACAATAATTAGAAAATCTTTAGTAACATAGGAAAATGTTTAGAAATGCTGAGTGAATAACGAGTGAAAAAGCACTCAGTACTTTTATTAAAATACTGAGTGCAATGTGTTACTCTGGGTTGGATCCTGGCACAAAGAAAGGCCATTGGTGGGGGAAAAAACTGGTGAAATCCAAATAAAATCTGGAGTCTCATTAATAGCAACGAACAAATGTTGGTGTTTCAGTTTTGACAAATGTACTACGTACAGTAATGTAAGATGGTACCACAAGGGTCAGTCAAGTGAGGGGCATATGGGAACTCTCTGTACTATCTTGGAAGCTGCTGTAAGTCTAAAATTGCTCAAAATAAAACGTTGAAATAGAAAACAAATGGTAAAAGTAGAAGGAAGGAGACGGGAAGGGAACAAACAAAAATGTCAATCGTAGGTTATCCACAGATTCTGGAATTGCGGGAAGTGGTCATTTTCTTCTTCCCACTGTCTAAATTCTCTATATATACTACAATGAACGGACATCACCTTTATAAAAGTGAAAGAAGTTATGTGGTGCCATAAGCACGTGGCCAGGCTCTGTACCTTGTGACAATAGTGCACGGCGGAGACGATTTGCCGGAAGAAGTGTCTGGTCTCCCTCTCGCTGAGGCGCCGCCGCTCGCTGATGTAATCGTACAGCTCCCCTTTGCTCGCGTACTCCATGATGATCACAATCTTATCTTTGTTCTCAAACACTGTGGGGAGGGGGACAGCAATACACAGATGCCCTGTTTATCCAACAAGCTCGCTTATGACTACAAAGAGTGCGAGAGAGGATGACGGAGATGTCCCCGGGTCGGGGGGTACACAGCTACCGGTCAGCACTCAAGTCAGCCATTCAATGTCACGAGGAGTTGGGCAAGTTTTCCAGCCAAGTGACGTCCTCACTGTTGTCACTGGACACACCTGTGTAACGTTAAGGGACTGAGCCTCTCTTTTCTGAGGCCCCTGCTCCCTTTATCAGGAGCATTTCTCCCAAGCCCCTCCCATGAAAACCCCTCCCCTATAGACAGGATAATGGATATTAACCAACATGACTACCCTTTATGTATTAACCATTTGATATGGACCAGCTACCTGGATCTCGTAAGCTACTGTAACCCCAAAGTGAATGGCTGGTCACCTCTTTGCTCAAAACCTTCCCGGCTTTCCATCTCACACAAAATAAAACCCAGAGTTCTGAAGGTGGCCCACCAGGTCATCGAGGAGTCCGCGGACCCTTCTGAGCCCTATGACACATCTCTTCTGTGTATTTTTTCTGTCTCCCCGACTGGAATGTAAATGTGGGTCACTCTACTTCATTCTCTGATGTATCCCCAGGACTCAGAGTGCTATTTGGCATAGGGGCTCAATTAATATTTATTACATGATAAACTCAAAACTTCATAAATGCATTCTGGATAATCATAGTAACTAACTACATAGCACTAAATGCTTCTCTCTCCCTGACCCTGATATTCTCTAGCAATGATGTTCAAACTCTGCTCGACTGAGTCCTTGGAGTCCAAGGCAGATGACAGGGTGGAGGGAGGGGTGAAGCCAGGCGGGGCCACGAAGGACAGGCTCTCGGTCCTCAGCACCACATCGACCAAAGCAAGTCCATTGCTATCTGTTTTGTATTTTGGGCTTTCACAAAAAAAAAAATGTCCCTTGAGCAAACTAAATAAATAATAATTGTTCTGAAATCAATCACTCCCAAGGGATATGGTATTACAACACTTGTACGGTACTCAAGACCCTCCCCGAAGGATCCCTGCCTTCCTCCCTCCATCTTATTAGCTTCTACCATTCCCTGTCAGGACCCTATGCCCACCAATGCAGGACCGTTTGCTGTTTCTCATACACACACACACAC